TGATCATGCCTACTTCACCAGGGATTGGGAGGTCTCGGTGAGATGTCACAGGTCTGCAGGGGGCTGAGGGGAGGTTGGAGAAGGAGGGTGGCCAGTGCTGGTATTTGTACTCATCAGGAGGGGGAGGGACTGGGCCTGCCACATGGGGGGATGGGCCATCCCCTATGAGAAAGCTCACCCCCGTGGAAAATGAGGCCTCACTTTTGGAGGGCATGATTTCCAGTACAGTGGGGAATCTGACAGTCTAGACTGAAGAAAAAGCAAACAGGGTTATTTCAGTACCAACTCTAAACCACTCCTCTGGGTACAGGACACACTGTTTGGAGGTCTTTATCAGGAATGCTTTTGAGCTTTAAGTAAAAGAATATACAGCTAATCATGGCTTAAATACAAAGGGTTCTATTTTCTCTTGTAACAAGGAGTCTGGAGGGAAACAGTGGTGTTGGTTCAGTGGCTAGATAATGTCTTCAAGGACCAACATCCCATCTTTTCCTCTTGCCATCTTTACCATCTTGTTTGTCTGGGTTTTTAAATCCTTAACGTTATTGCCTCACAATCACAAGAGGGCTGCTATGGTTCCAAGCATTTCGTCTTTTTTTTTTTTTTAAGATTTTTTATGTTTTTTTTATTAGAGAGAGTACAAGCAGGGGGAGCGGCAGGTAGAGGGAGAGGGAGAAGCAGGCTCCCCGCTCAGCAGGGGGCCCGACGTGGGACTCTATCCCAGGACCCTGGAATCACGACCTGGCCCGAAGGCAGCTGCTTAACCGACTGAGCCACCCAGGTGCCCCTCCATGCATTTCATCTTTACACAACCTCATTCGAGGTAAGAAGCAGCTAAACAAGAAAAGGGAGAAAAAAGTCCTGAGAAGCACCCCTTTCTCCCTGACCAGCAATTTACTGCAGGTGAGGGTGAGTAAGCAGGTATCTTCAAAAAGCAGGTATCTGTGTTGGTCATGACAGTCTGAGACTAATCACAGTTCATCCCCCAAAGTTGGGCACATTGCCGAACGACATCAGGCTCCTGTTGGCAAGGCAGAAGGAAGCAGAATAGCTCCAAGGGAGACCAGGTAGCCCGTTAACAGGGTCCGCTGGAGGTGGGAGAATCAGTCCCACAGAAGAGTGGCTACCAGGCAGGACTCTTAACTGTGAACCTTATAAGCTGCTCTGTGACAAACAGCAGATTTCACTTTGTTGCAAAGAACAGAATCCACGTTGTTGCCAACAGCGCACTCCACTCTGTTGCCCACCGCAGACTGGCAGGCATGGCCAGCACCAGCTCCGTAGCTTCTCAGCACAAAGCAGGCAGGAGCAGGCCGTGGCTCTTGGTCCTCTCCAGCCCATCTGAGGAGCCCCAGAAGCCCCTAACTCATGGTCTGTCTCAGCCACCCGCTCGGCCTGAAACACCCCCCAGAGCCCTTGGAGTCAGGGCACTGCCCCTCACCCCGAAGGCTTAGCTTAACAGGTCCCATCCTCTCTGGGGAGCTTGGCAAACCTCCCCCGGGTGTGGTCAGACTTCGGGCTGCAAGTTTCTGTGTGGAGAGGCCTACGGAAGGCAAGACCTGGAGAGAGGGTCAAAGGTGCCTCTGGGAGAGCCCACTGAGGGTGGGAAGGGGATGGAGGGCCCAAAGGTGGGAAGAGAATTCCTGAGGTGGGGGCAGGGCAGAAGTGTCGGCCCCAACAGACTCCACTTCTGTGTCTTAACTTCTCTGATCCATGCCCCAATCGGAGGAAACAGTGGTCCCTTGGGCTAGATCAGACCCTGAGATCAGAGAGCTATTCAGTTTGGCTGACGCAGTGCTAAAAAAAAGAAAAAAGAAAGAAAAAAAAAAGTCTAATCCGAATGTTTAAAATTGTGAGGTTTCACATTACCGGCCAGATTTCAACCTTTCTTGAAAAATCGGAAACTCTGGCCACACCGCGCATCTTCCCATCCCCCAGCACAGGCTACAGCCAAGTGGCTGCCATGCGTTCGGATGAGGCGTGAGCTTTGGAGCGCCACAGGCCCCACTACCCCCTACTGCCTCCCCTCACCGACCTGCGCAGCCCCTGAACACCTCCCCGTTCTAATCCCTTAGGCCTGATTGACTCCATGACCATACTCTTCTGCCCCTGCCCTGCACGGTTCTGGCGGCCTCTGGGGGAGAAGACCTGGCCTGCGCAGCGTTAGCAGGGAGGAGAAGCAGAAGTTAGGGGTACCGGGATAGAAATCCGGGGGCCTCTTCCGGCCCGTTTTTGTGGCCAGCGGGTTCCAGTGGCCTGGTTTGGCTAAGGATTTGTCAGGGGTCGCAGCCCTCCCTTCCCGGCGTGGATCTAAAGGCATGAAGGGTCTCCCGTTGTCTCTGCCCTCCTGAGCCTGAGGGTTCCTTGGTGCCTCGCGGGGCATTTGACCTACGTTTGACCAAAAAGGCAACTGAGAGAGGTAGACACGGCCTCCCCCTCCCCAGCCCTTCCTGCCCCGGGGGCACCTGCCCACATCCGCAGGGCCCCCCTCCCCCAACCACAGGGGCACTTCTGAGGAAAAGAAGCAGGACTGACTGTATTTTCAGCCCCCTGGAAAAGGCGCTGTAGGATCTTGGGGCGACACTTGGCTCGCTTTCTTGTGAGCCCGAGACACTGATGCAACAGCACAAGAGACAAGAAATGAGTAGCAAACGGGGGAGGGAGGTGGAAAAATTAAATTCTGCGTGATCAGCAAGGTTTCAAACAATGGCTCGCCAACTGAAGTGGGTGCCACGTCTATAAGTCATTCTGTTTTATAGACCATTAGGATCTCCAGAGAGAACCTGCATGGAGACCACTGCTTTTTGTTGAAATTAAAATGTCAGAGAAAAAGAAATAGAACAAAACAGGGAATCTGCAATTAATTACCAGGCCATAAAAATTCAATAATCAGGAGGCAGAGCGGCCGCTGGCCCAGAGGTATCAGAGCCGGCGTAACAAGAATGGAATACATTAATCTTTTCAAATTAGTTTTTTAATCTGACGGGGATATACGGTGACATGCCCCCCCTCCGTGCCCGCTCCGCCCCCCACCCCCTCTCCAGGCCTCTCGCCTGAAGCCGGTTCTCCGGGAGGGAGGTTCGGGTGTGAGCTGGGGGCTTGCCCCAATCCGGACCCCCGACAGGGGAGAAAGTGCTGGTCTGCGGCCCAGGCTGAGCCCAGGGCCCCCATGCCCGCCGGCCTGGTGGGGGGAGCCCAAGCAGAGCTGCCAGGAAAGCGCTTCCGTGGAGAGGGGGCCTCTGTGCGCTCGGGTTTCCTCCTCTGGAAAATGGGAATCCTATCCCAGCCTCACAGGCAGGCTGGATGTGGAATGCCGGGTGCTCGGTAGATGGGCCCTCGGGTTCCTGTGCTGACCGGACCGGCAGCTCAGGCAGCTAGGAGCCCACGAAGCTCCAACGTACTATTCCGAGAGCAATTATTTAGCATTTGCTGTGTGCTCAGCGCTGGCAGAGACCAGCAGCCTCAGCCCTTGCTCTGGGGAATGAGACTCCTAGGTCAGAGAAGCAGGTACTGGGCCACCCGGTAAGGGGGAAGGCTCTTCCCCTCGAAGCAGGGCGCCGGCCGGGCCGCGGGGAAGCGGGAGGAACTGGGACGGCGGCCGAGGCCCACCCGGCAGCACCCCCAGCCCGGCCCCCGCGCAGCAGGCTCCAGCCCGCGCCCCGGGTCAGTCCCGCCCCTGTGTCTCACTCGAGGCCCTGTCGTCGGCTCCCGGAGCCTCCACCGGAACTGGGCCTCCTCCTGCGCGGCCTCCCAGCGCTGTGCTCCGAGTTTGGGTCCAGCTCGCTCGGGTCCTCAGCCTCAGCCACGCCGCGGCCGCACGCACCACCCCAAACCTCGACAAACCTGCCTCCGGGCCTCCGAGTCTGAGCCTCCCCTGGGCAGCCCCCGGTGCAGCTCTGGCCTGGACACTCAGTGGGCTGTGGGAGCAGCCACGCCCGGGGAGGTGACCTTGAGACGCAGTCGGATGACCGTCCGCCCTTTGGACTTTGACTCCTTTTAAATGTAACAGGTAGGGCCCACTCAGGGCCGGCCCTGTGTTAAGTCCCTCGCCGGGATTTTCTCATTTCATCCCCTGCGATGGGGGGGGGGGGGGGGGGGGACACTCTTGATAACCCCATTTTGCAGAAGAGGAACTGGTGAAAGTGGAGTTGCCCCCCATTTTTGTGTGTGCTGTGCTCCCCGAATGTAGCTTCCCCAAGAATACGCGCCAGCGCAGCTTCTTTCCCCTTCCCCACTTTGAGTCACAGAAGGGGCTCCATCAGTGCTCACTGGATCGTGTCCCTGCAGAACAGCCCTGCGAGCCGACCTCAGCTGCCCTTCCATCACTTTCCTCCCCAAAATATCTCCACTCCAACAGCTGCCATTTACTGAGCACCTTCTGTGTGCCAAGTTGTGTGATCTGGTGCCATTTGCGGTAAGACTGTGGTTCCTGTTTTCCACAAAGGAAACTGAGGTTGAGAATGATGGCCCCAAGAGCTCACACCCATGTCTGGCGCCCAAGGCGAGGATTCTAAGAGTCTTGTCTCAGAGCCCCATCAACGAGACCTGTCTCAGGACTCCCAAGCCCCACTTCTGGTTTTGTCCCCAAACCAGGTCCTTCACTCTTTCAACCGGATACCCTTACTCATCTCCCCCAAGAAGCCTCCCCTAATTCTCAGTCCCTCTCAGAGCTCCTGTCATTTCTATCACGTTGTACTCATTACTACCCTGTTACACCGAGGGCCCACCCACCCACATATGCCCCAGGGTCCCAGCAAAAACAGGAGCAATAAGAAGCATATACCCAGGAAGGGCATCACATTCTTCCTCCCTGACCCAGGACGGTAGACCTCAGGGGCGGGTAAGAAAAACCCAGACAACCGCACGCTGGGCTTGCGCCCCTGTCTGGGCGCAGTTCCCAGTGGAGCCACCAGATGGCGCCCGGCTCGCTCTAGCGGGACTTGCAGTAAAGCTGTGCGGTCGCCAGATGGCGTTGGAGACCGCAGCTCGGCGGACAGTGTCGGGACAGGGCGGAGCCTGGAGGGCAGGCGGGTCCCAGTGCGGGCCCAGGAGCCCCAGCCAAGTGACCCGTACGTGGCTGCCTCCAGGTCGCACCATGATCCAACCCGCACCCCGGCTCTCTGTGCCCGCCGCGCTGGCCCTGGGCTCGGCCGCGCTGGGCGCCGCCTTCGCCACCGGCCTCTTCCTGGGTGAGTAGGGCGGGGCCCGCGGACCTCCCCCCCCCACCCCGGCAGAGCCCCCGCAGGCAGGGCAGGTGCGGGAGCCGAGCCCGTGACTCCTCGAGGCTGGCTGCGGCTGAAGCTCAGCCCTGGCGCCCCGGAGCCCCAGGCCCTGACCCAGGACCCCTCCCTGGCAGGGAGCCGGTGCCGTCCCTGGCGATCCCGGCGAGAGAAGCGCCTGCTGCCCCCTGAAGACAGTCCCCTGTGGCAGTATCTGCTGAGCCGCTCCATGCGGGAGCACCCGGCGCTGCGGAGCCTGCGGCTGGTCAGCAGGGCCAGGGGCGGGAACAGGCGCCCACCTCGGACCCAGCGGGTCCCACGTGGTTGTGTGACCTTGGGCTGGGCCCTGGCGCTCTCGGGCCTTCCGGGACACCGCCGGCTGGGCGCGGTGGGCGTTCCCTGAGGGCCCGTCCCGGGACCACGCCCCACGACCGCGCACCTGGAGGGGGTTGTGGACCCGGGGAGGAGCTGGGTGCCTGGCAGTGCTGGCGCGACCCTCTCCCCTCCACCACCGCGACACAGCTGACCCTGGAGCAGCCGCGGGGAGATTCCATGATGACCTGTGAGCAGGCCCAGCTTCTGGCCAACCTGGCGCGGCTCATCAAGGCCAAGAAGGCTCTGGACCTGGGTAGGGCGCACGGCCGGGATCACCGGGGGCCGAAGTCACCGGGATGTCCCCCTGCTCTGGCCTGAGCCTGTCCGTATCCCTTGCCCCCAGGTACTTTCACAGGCTACTCAGCCCTAGCGTTGGCCTTGGCGCTGCCCCCGGCCGGGCGCGTGGTGACCTGTGAGGTGAACCCGGGGCCCCCGGAGTTGGGGCGGCCCCTGTGGAGGCAGGTGAGTGTCCCACCCATTTGAGGCCCTCATCAGGCCCTTGGAGCCTGGCCACTCCCAGCTCCAGGAGAAGGGACTTGCTGGCTCTGACCCCACTCCTTCCGCAGGCTGAGGAGGAGCACAAGATCGACCTTCGGTTGAAGCCCGCCCTGGAGACCCTGGGTGAGCAACGGAGTGGAAGGGGCCTTGGCACCATTTTCCAAGTGGGGCCACTGGGCGTGAGCTAGTGACCAGGTCCGCTGGGCGGGCTTGGGGCAGTGACAGACCCCTGCCTCCTGGCCTCGCCGCTGCCATGCGGCCACATGCTGGGTGGCAGGGCGCCCCTCCAGGCCAAAGTCCCTGAATAGTCACAGCGCCTGGGCAGGCCTGGGCAGGGGCTTCTGACCGCTGGGGCTGCGGACTCAGCCGCATCTGCCCCCCCCCTCCCCCGCAAGATGAGCTCCTGGCCGCGGGCGAGGCCGGCACCTTCGACATGGCCGTGGTGGACGCGGACAAGGAGAACTGCACCGCCTACTATGAGCGGTGCCTGCAGCTGCTGCGCCCCGGAGGCATCCTGGCGGTCCTCAGTGTAAGGGGAAGAACGAACCCTCCCGGGGCAGGGTTTCCTGTCTTTTCACCTGGCTCCTCCCCGTGCCCCGCCCCCATGCCACAAAGTCCCGCCCAGTGCACGCATGTAAGCCCCTCCCTCGCCCCGCCTCTCCCTTAGGCACCTCCCCCCTCGGCCCTGACCCCCTCCCCGTGATGCCCCGCCCCCCCCGCAGGTCCTGTGGCGCGGAGAGGTGTTAGAGCCTCAACCAGGGAACACGGAGGCCCAGTGCGTGCGAAACCTGAACGAGCGCATCCTGCGGGACGCCAGGGTCCACATCAGCCTCCTGCCTCTGGGCGACGGCCTCACCTTAGCCTTCAAGATCTAGGGCCGGCCCCCAGCGGGTGGCCTCAAGGGAGGGGACCTGGGAACCCCAGACATCAACCCTGAGTTTTAAATTCGACAATAAAGTGGGGCCTGGGACACAATCTTTTGAGCCTCCGTATGTGGCGCAAAAGTGGGGTAGGGAGGGAAGGCCCAGCACTGGCAGGTCCTGAAGCAAATGGGGGCCTTGAGGTCATAGACGTCATCCCCTCCCTGGCACAGTCCTGAGGGCCACCTGGCACATGTCCATAGCCTCAATAGGAGCTTCCAGCTGACTGGTAGCAGGAAATAAAGTTTTGATTGACCTGGCCACATACAGGACCCCAGCTCCTCAGGTTTGCCCACACTCCACAGGATCTGAGGGCTGGCAGCTGGGTAGAACCCCAACCCCTAGGTCTCCCTCCCACTTCACTTCCTAGGAGGGGCAAGTGAATGAAGGTCTTGTTTGGTGCAGCTGGGACTGGCTGGGAAACCCTATCTGGGGTCTGACAACAGGAAACAACCTTAGAGCAGACCAGGTTTGCCACTGGGCGCTTTCATAGGTTACGCCAGTTCTATTTGCCCATGTTTTCACAGAACTGTCAGCTTGACCTCACCTCTGCAGTGGAGGCTCTGCTCAGTGGACATCACCTCTGAGAACCAGGCCACTTGACTTAAACCTGAGGACCTCAAGGTTGGAGTATATATCCTGTCCTCCCCCTGAAGTCCTGGAGGAAGGTGAGGGACTGGGTGGGATCACTGGCCAGAAAGGTGTGAAGTAGACAGGCCTAGAGGTAGGAGACCATCAGTATGGCAGTTTTTTAAAAAGTTCCCCACAGGAAGATGAATATAGTTAGGCTTTCCCACACCCAACATCTATGAGAGGAGGTGGACAGGGAGCCAGGTTCTTCACTTCTCTCCATTTAGACAGCCCTAATCCCAATCCCACAGGAAGATCCTATCTCCACACCAACACAGATGAGTATAAGGTGCAAATATGAAGTGTTCTTCGACTAACTGCATCAGCCTAGAATACAATTAGGTTTTGCCACCCCTGGGTTAGGCCTGGGTGCTATAAAGCTGGAGACTATTAGAAATAAGGCCACAGGGGCCCATAGCTGGCAAATTCCATAATCCTACACCTCCTGGGACATACCTGGCATTTTATGCAACCCACAGGGCCCAGGAACCTTCTCTCTCCCCCATGCTAAAAACATTACAGGATGCACCTGGGTAAATACATCCACTTTACTCTTAAACATATCTCTGACCAACTGCTCATTTGTGCCACACCCCAATCCTGAGTACTGGACCAGGTAAAATCCAGCCACAGCTGAGGGAAGGCCACCTGTTAGCTCTGGGGCAGGTCATCCAGGGGGCTTCAGAAGTCACAGGCCTATGACCAGTTCCTCCCCACCAGGTGGACTTTCAGAGATAGTCTGCTGATCTACTTCACACCTCTCTTGAGAATCCCAAAAGCAGATGTGCTTTCACACCTAACTTGCAGGCATCTCTTCCTGTTTGTTTGACCTAGCAAAAGATCCTGACTCAAGCAGATTGGCTCAAATTCCAATTGTCTGCCATTAAATCACATGTGTCTTATTCACACGGGCCATTCTTGCCAGTCCCTTAGCACAAACATTTATCGCCCAAAGTGGAAAGCTTGCTTGAGCTTCTAATCTCTCATCAGATTCTTTCTGACCTGGAAATTTTCAGCATATATCACTTTTTTGGGTAATGAGTCTCAGAGTACATTTTCTTACCTGTTCCCTCTTAGGCTTCAAATGGTACCTCAGGTCCAACAATATAAATGTGTTGAATAAAGCTCTCCCTTCTCTAACCTCTGATCACACCCTTCAAACTATCTTCTCCCATCAAAAACACTTGTTGTCTCCTACTTTTCCAACCAGAATCATCTGTTACTTTCTGTCATTCAGCCCCAGTGCAGATGAAGGCCAGTGGCCACAAAGCCTGAAGGCACTGATTCTGGTCTCACACTTAGGCCCAACCGTTTCAGTGTCTGCCTAGAAAGAAATGATTCATGACCTCTCACAGAGGCCCATATACTCCCTTCTCAAGTCCCTCTGGTTACTGACCCCTCACTCCATTTGCCTACACCTCGCCCCACCCCACCCAGGACCTAGTTCACCTCCCACAGCAAGAGCTCACAGGGGTATGGTGTGTGTATGCAGCCTTCAGCACCATCTCTTCAATGATCCAATGGAATTCTGGACAAATTTACAAACTGAAATATAAAGGCATATATCCTCTTATTTTATTGTAGTCCAAAAAGTTTGTGGAGTTACTTCAGGGACACAGAGGACTTTATGGCACAGATTTAGATAAAAAGCAAAACGCTCACCAAAAAAATAAGGTACTAGTGAGAAACAAGGGAGAGCTGACCCTGGCAAATGTTTAAACTCTGCAAATACTTGGAGTCATTATTTATGTATACTTGTTTTTATTCATAATCTGTAATGTCTGGGGATACCAAAAGTAATTCTAATGATGGGCTGAATTTAACAAAAATTTTTTAACCTCATCTTAAAAACTTCCACTGATCCATCTCGTTCAATGGCAATTTTCAATGTTAATAGGAACATAAAAACAAACATGCACACAATTGCACAGTTTTCATAAAGGTCTATTTCATTATTGGTGGGTAGCGCATTTAACAGTTAAATACATTTAAATAATGTATAGGTGACTGCACGACTGCAGCATTGGTAACTAGATAGATAACCAATTCAACTAGAAACCAGCTAACAAGTAACTGTCTAAATATTTAAAATACAGCTCTTGTTTAGATCATCCTTTGATCTGATCACCTTCTTGGGGAGGGGGGAGCCTGCTGGTCACACTGGAAATATATTAAGGCCAAATCTTCTGATATCCATTCCCAGAGGTTTCTTTCAGCTGGATTAAGCCTCCAACTCAAGGGCAAGCCCAAGTTTGTGGCCTCCAGCATTGATGCTCTTCCCGTCTACCAGAGCAGACAGTGTAAGCTTGACACCTGTAAAAAAAAGGCAGGCAACCATGATTTGCCTGAAACACCTCAAGAGTCTGCAGTCTTTAATAATCACCCCAGAGCCTGCCTGTCCCTCCCTCAGCCTGCTAAATGACCTATTAGTGCCAACCACCAGAGGGTACTTGGGAGTCCCAGAGATACCAGACAGAATTCAGGTGGTCCCATCCTAGGTTAAGGGATCTGTGAAGTCACAGAACATTAAAAATAAGTTCAAAGTGCTCTAGAAAATACAGTAACATTCAAAACACTATCCAGACTATTAAGACACTAAAAGACAATCATAATTGGACCAGGACAACTACAATAAAGAGACAAGTGGGGGAAACTGAATATAGACTACGTATTTGTGTTGCTCAACTAATGGTAATTTCCTTAGCTGTGACAGTGGTATTGTAGTTATGAAGAAAAATGCCACTCTTGGGATTTGCGTGCTGGGTAGATTTGTCTGCATGTCCGCAAAACATACATTTAAATAACTGAAAAGAGACTGTGGAAAAAAGGGATTATGTATGCAGACATGGAGAGAAAACAAATGTGGTAGATGTTAATTAGTGAATGTGGGAAGGGTATACAGGTGTTCTTCGTACTTGTCTTTTAGGTTTCAAAAAGGCCAAAATACAAAGCCTGGGGGAATATCCCTATCTGAACGGGGTGAAAGTTCCAAGTGCTTTAGAACTTGCTATTCAAATGGTGGCAAGAACCAGTGATGCGGGCATCACCTAAGAGCTTGTTAGAAAAACAGGACCCTTCACTCCAGATCAGAATGTACATTTTAGCAAGAGTCCCCAGGTGACTCACGCACACTGAAGTCTGATAAGTACTGCTCTAGAAAATACAAGGCTCAAAATACTACATAAAGTAAATGAGACTGGGCGCCTGGGTGGCTCAGTTGGTTAAGCGACTGCCTTCGGCTCAGGTCATGATCCTGGAGTCCCGGGATCGAGTCCCGCATCGGGCTCCCTGCTCGGCAGGGAGCCTGCTTCTCCCTCGACCCTCCCCCCCTCATGTGCTCTCTCTCTCTCTCTCATTCTGTCTCAAATAAATAAATGAAACTACAGAGACCAAACAATGAAAGCAATGAGTGAACCTTGATTAGAGAAATAAACAATACTAGAAGGCATTTCAGGTACAAATGAGGAAAGTGACTACAGAATGGAGAGTAAATAATAATACGGACTAACTATTAAATTTCTTAGGTGTGATCATGGTATTATGGTTATTATGCAGGAGACCAGAACGTTCTCATTTCTGAATAGACACATGCTTAAGCATTTAGGGAAGTGTCAGGATAGCTGCAACTTCCAAACAGCCCAGCAAAAGAAAATAAATAAGTAAAACTGTGGCAAAAGGTAAACGTGTTCATTGTACTCTCTGAAAGGTTTATAAAGAACCTGAGAAATGAAAAATAATTTTTAAAACACCAATCCTACTTAAAAAAAAAAACAAAACACCAATCCTACCTATCAAGAATACTTACCAGGCCTCAGAGTCTGAGTATAGCCCACTCCAATTAAACTAGAGTTGTTGACTTTTGCCTGAAATAAAATGCAAAAACAGCTGTAAAAAATTTTTTTTGAATTGAGAAACAAAGCCCCTGCACGTCTCCCTACTATACAATTATGAAGTGTTCCGCTTTTTTATTCACATGTGAAATAACAAAATTTAGACAAACCATGAGAGACTCTTGACTCTGGGAAACAAACTGAGGGTTGCAGAAGGGGAGGTGGGTGGAGGGATGGGGTAACTGGGTGATGGGCATTAAGGAGGGTACGTGCTGTGATTAGTACTGGGTGTTATACATAACTAATAAATCAATGAACACTACATCAAAAACTACTGATGTATTATACATTGGCTAATTGAATTTAAATTAGAAAAAGACTTGTATAAAATAAAGATTTCATAACATTTGAGAAGTAAAATAAATAAATTTAACACTGTTACTAAGCCAAACAGAAGCTAGGTGCTACTTAATTCTTATCCATTAAACTCCAAGTCAAACTGTCGGTAGGACACAATATTCTTGGTAGTAAAAAGGTGACAGCCTCTGGGATCAAAACAGATTGGAAATTATTTGATGTCTTCACTCTTTTATAA